GGTTTGCCATGTGCAAGACCAGAGCTCTCCCAGCTGTGCTCTTTCTCCAGCCCCTTTGGTCTTGCTGTTGTTGTTTTTTTTCCTGGCCACACCCAGCAATGCTTCTGGCTCCATGCTCAGGAATTACTCCTGGTGGTGCTCAGGGGACTAGGGGACTATATGGGATGCTGGAGATTGAAACAGGGTTGGCCTCATGCAAGGCAAGTGTCCTCCTCTCTGTACTATCTCCTCAGCACCCTTTGTCTTATTTTTGAATAACAAGCTTTGAAGTTCTGTGCCACACGCATTTATTTCCCCTTAATGACGACAAATTACTAATTGAAATTCCTTCCTGGACTGTTAATTTAAGGGATCATTCTTTTTTTGGGGGTGGGGGGTTGTTTTTGTGTCACAACAGGCAATGCCAGGGCTTATTCCTGGCTCGGTGTTCAGGGCTCTTTCCGGTGGGGCTCAGGGGACTGTGGGTGCTGGATTGGCCACGTGCACAGCAATCTCTTTCCCCGCTGTACTATTTCTCTGACCCGAAATCAGTCTTTTTTAACCTGAACTGGTTTTCTCTTACACAAAAAAAGAGTTTCTGGAGAAATTAATAGGTAGGTGACATTTGCCTTTTCTGGTTGCTGTATGTACACAGATCCCACTCAAAGCCCAGACCAGAGGTATTTTAAATGAGTGGAGTTTGGCTTTTAGAAAAGTAACACAATAGATGTATTATTTTACCCTTAGCATTGTGATTCGACACAGAATTTTGTCAGAAACACATGAATATTCCAAGGGGGATAATTAAAGGCTGTAATTGGTTTCTCAGTTCAGACTAGATTTAGCTGCCAAAGGATTTCAGGTCAGGTTTTTGGAACTGTTCAGTTTTCAGAATTTGTGAAGTAGTGGCTGTGAACCTCAGTATGGCACAAAGGTACTCCAAAGGCAAGGCTTTGTGGCATGAGGAGCAGAATGCTGGCAGGCAGCTGCTTGGGAGCTGCGAACCCTTGCTTTTCTGCTCACCCTTTTCTCCTGGGAGGTTATGCAGCCTTGTCTCCTCAGTCCACCTGCTTCTCCTCATTTCTTGAGTTACTGATGTGCCCTGCTCATTCCTCTTGGAAATGTCCTTGTTCCCCAGAGCTCATGGCCTAGTGGGTTTTTAACCTAGGCTGCTTTTTTTGGGTGAAGGGTTGGTGGCTCAGCTGCTTTGTACTGATGGCTTTGTACTTAGTGGTCACTCCTTGCAGTGTTGGGATGGATCCAGGTTGGCCATGTGCAAGGCTAATGTCTTACCTCTTTATTTCCTCTCCTGCTCTAACCTGGACTTCTAATGTTTTGGTTGATCTTTAGTCTGGATATCTCCAGTCTGTTGTTTCAGTATAATTTATGCACAGCCTAGTAGACAGAGTCTCAGTGTACAATTCTTTGAGAACTCATGGTGTGATTTGCCCCAGTTCTGGAGCGTCATGTCTGTCATCAGTATCCTAGAATCTGTGGTTGCCCTTCCCAAACGTGACTCTACTTCAACCCAAGCTATAGAGCCAGCTTCTTAAATTGTTATTTTTTAAAATTAGAGAGTGGAGGTTGGGTCAGGGTAGCTTAGGGTCTATCCATTCCAGACCAAGAGTGCTCAAGAGTAACCCGTGGCGTGCTTAGGGCTATGTATGCAGGTTGACTTCTTAATGAAATTTGTACTAGTCCTTATTTGTGTGTACTAGTAAGTGTTGCTGATCGGTCATTCTGTGAAATACTCCGTAATGATGGACATTGAGGAAGCTTTATTTTGGTCTATTGTAATAGAATACTGCTCTATGAGAATGAGTGTGTGTGTGTGTGTGTGTGTGTGTGTGTGTGTGTGTGTGTGTTTTGGGGTCACCTGGTTGTGCTCAGGGGCTTCTGGCTCTGTGTTCAGGGTTCACTCCTGGCCTTGCTTAGGGGACCGTATATGTGCTGGGGAACAAACTGGGATAGGATACATGCAAAGCAAGAGCCTTACCCATACTGGTCCTTTATAGGTTTGTTTTTTTGGGAGGACCATACCTGACAATACTCAGGTCTTCTGTCTCTGTGCTCAGGTATCAGTCCTGATGGGCTTTACATCTGGCATCTTCTCAGGCTGTTTTGTTATAGCTGCCCATTCAGAAAACAGACCTTGAAATTTCCTCCTGCTTTATGCTTTTGGTTTCCTCATTATAAAGTAGAAATTAATATTTTAATCAAGTGCTGTAAAAATGGAATGCTTTACCCCAATGTCAAGTATCCATCCAAGGTTTATCTTTTAATACTGAATGAAAAATACTCACCTCACTAAGTTATACAGCCGTATTTTAAAATTTAATTTTTTAGACGATCAATTCTGGCAGGGCTCAGTACTGTGTGGGGTGCTGGGCTTGACTGAACCGGATTGGCTGTGTGCAAGGCAAGTGCCTACCTGCTGTACAATCGCTCTGGTCCCTGTGGCAGCTTTATTCACAATTTTAAAAACACAAGCCTTGTGTAGGAGAATTGGGAAATGGTCGCTAGGGTGTAGACTCAAGGTAGAAGGTAAATCCATTCTGAGAATATGAAGGAGATTCTGACTGTGGCCGACAGTGCTGTCTTTCAGATTTCTCATTTTCCAAGAGCATGCTTTATTCACAGCTGTGGAGTAACTCTGAGAGGTGCTGGGTGCTGGCTGATGGTACCGTGGTGAACAAGTTCCCAGGTGATCTGGATGTGACCATTGCATTGTAAACATGGCCCTAAATGTTTGCTGTGGTCTTGCTGTGGTGACGATTGGTTGTCTTTTTTTTTTAAATTTATTTATTTGCCTTTTGGGTCACACCCAGCGATGCTCAGGGGTCACTCCTGGCTCTGCACTCAGGAATTACTCCTGGCGGTGCTTGGGGGACCATATGGGATGCTGGGGATCGAACCCGGGTTGGCTGCGTGCAAGGCCGCGTGCAAGGCCGTGTGCAAGCCCTACCCGCTGTGCTATCGCTCCAGCCCCTTGATTGGTTGTCTTCTGATAAACCATCCTAAGTTGAAAGTCTCACAGGTTGGAAATGTCCTTAATGTGTTGAGCATGGAAAGTGTCGGCCTTTGCCTCCTTCACTGCATACAGCCGGGTGGAACCACCTCATGCAAAGCCTATTGTATAGTGTTGAGACCCCTGTCATTGATTGAACTCAGTACTTAGAGTGAAACAGACATGATGGGATGCAGACATGCAAGATCCGAAACATGATAGCCATACTGCGGGGAAGCAGCCACATGCCTTGGTGACAGTATGACTGGGCGACTGGGACCTACTCTGTCCCATATTATGACAGGAACCAGAGGCAGGTTGCTAGCCAAGGAAAGGCTAAAACTAAATATTTGAAGTACATTTCTATTGGTCTGGAGCGATAGCACAGTGAGTAGGGTGTTTGCCTTGCATGTGGCTGACCCGATTTCTCCGCCCCACTGGGAGAGCCTGGCAAGCTACTGCACAGCAAAGCCTTGTAAGCTACCTGTGACATATTCGATATGCCAAACACAGTAACAACAAGTCTCACAATGTTACTGGGCCGCTCCAGCAAATCTATGAACAACAGGAGGACAGTGCTACAGTGACAGTGGCGTTTTCTATTGTGTCAGTGTTAGTATTGTTTCTGCATCACTGTCAAGTTGGAAACTTGATAAACCAGACTACTTGTGAAAAGTCATTGAAAAACCTTCAGGACTGGAGTGATAGCACAGGGGGTAGGGCGTTTGCCTTGCATGCAGCCACCCTGGGTTCGATTCCCAGCATCCCATATGGTCCACCAAGCACTGCCAGGAGTGATTCCTGAGTGCAGAGCCAGGAGTAACCCCTGAGCATCGCCGGGTGTGACCCAAAAAGCAAAAAAAAAAAAAAAGTCATTGAAAACCTTCATTATTTTTATTCATCTGTCCATCCATGTGTCCATCCATCCATTCATCTGACCGTTTGTCAATCCACCTGTCTACCGCTCTGTTGATTCTGCACTGCTGGGGATGAGCCCAGGACCTCACATGCAGGCACATTCTCTGCTGCTCCCCAGGGGTCACTTAACACCTCAGTTACATTCATGTTTCCCCTTTAATTGATGTGGGTATTTTGGACACACACAAGTGGTCATGGGCTCTACTTCCAGCTCAGCTCAAGGTCACTTCTGGAGGTTTTTGGTTTCCCAGATCGGAAGGTGATAGTGTGAAACAGTTCAGTTTGTTGAGTTATTTCTCCAGCATAGGTTGGCTTTTGGGCCACACCCAGCAGTGCTCAGGGCTTACTGCTGGCAGTCTCAGGACCGGATGTGGTGCTGGAGATCGAGCCTAAATTGGCTGTATGTGCAAAGCCAGCACCTTGCCTGCTGTCCTCTCTCTCCAGCCCTCTCCAGCTCAAACCTGTTTTGTTTTAGAATCACACCAAGTAGTACTTAGGCTATTCGTGATTTCTTGGCCATATGAGTTGAGTCAGGAATTTTGTTTTTGTATTTTGGGGTGTGAGACACAAAGAAGCTTTCTTTTTATTCTTTTTTTTTATATATAGTTTAATGTATTTTAATAGTAAACTTACAGGAACAGCACAGAAGACAGACAACATTAAAAACATGTACTTGCATGTAGGACAACTCAGAAAAGTATAGTGAATGGATGGAATCTGCTGTATGATAAAAATGCTACAAACACCATTTAGTTGCCATCAATAAGAAATTTACTTGTTTTAAAAAAATCCAAATGCTGGCATTGTCCAGAAAAATTTAATAGTTTTATTTATAATTGTTATAAAGTTGAACTGCTGAAACTTGTTCACTGAAACATTTTGACTTTCATTAATGCTTTATGTTCCCACATTTATATTCAAAATTCACGGACAAGTGAAAATGGAAAAATGCCAATACCTGATTTGTCCCCTATTTTTCCACTTGCAGTCATATATTTAGGTACCTTTGACCCCATGGGGGGAAAATCTAACATTCAGAACTACCAATAACAGGAAGAGGAAAAAAAGATTTTTCTTTTTAGAAATGTTTCCCATCATCGTGGATTCTTAAGCACGTTCTCCATGTATGCAGCGTGCTAGCTGGATGTCTTTTGGCATAATTGTTACACGTTTGGCATGAATAGCACACAGGTTGGTATCTTCAAAAAGGCCAACCAGATAGGCCTCACTTGCCTCCTGCAAAGCACCAATAGCTACGCTCTGGAAGCACAGATCTGTTTTGAAGTCCTGAGCAATTTCTTGCACCAGACACTGGAAGGGAAGTTTGTGAATCAGAAGTTCATTGGACTTCTGATAGCGCCTAATTTCACGGAGTGCCACAGTACCAAGCCTGTAACGGTGAGGCTTCTTCACCCCCCTGGTAGAGGGCTCACTCTTGTGAGCGGCTTTTGTAGCCAGTTGCTTCCTCAGTGCTTTACTACCTGTCTGCTTTGTACGAGCCATGGCAGAGAGACCTTACCCGCCTGATCCTTTGGCTGGAACTAGGTGAGCGAGAGGTGGTGCTGGCGTTGGAGAGTGACGGTGGTGCGGTGGTGGCTGTGAACACCTCTTTTTATTCTTAAAATTTATTTTAACCACTATGATATTTTGTATTGTGTCTGGGCTGTACTTGGCAGTACTCAGGGCTTACTCCTGACTGCGTTCAGAGATCATGCCTGGTGGGCATGGGGACTATATAGTTGTCTGGGATTGACCCCATGGGGGAAAAAAATCTAACGTTCAGAACTACCAATAACAGGAAGAGGAAAAAAAATTTTTTTTTTTTTTAGAAATCTTTCCCATCATCGTGGATTCTTAAGCACGCTGCTGGATGAGTTCAGCTGCATGCAAGACCAGCATCCTTAGTTACTATATTCTCTCTCTGCCCCCAAACCTTTTGTGATTTATCATATCACAATAATGTCAGTGGTAGGATTTTATGCATACAACATTCCAATACCATACCTGCCACCAGAGTGTACCCCTTTCCCTTCACCATTGTCTCAGGATTCTCTTCTCACTTGCCTCAACATTTCCGAAGCCCACTCTCCATGTCTCATTGCCCTGGTAAGTTCATTATGTAGACCAGTTCCTAGATTCTGTTGCTTTTGCCCATTTGTTGTTCCCTTACTATGGGTTTAATTTTTTTATTTTATTTTATTTTTTTTTGGCTTTTTGGGGTCACACCCAGCGATGCACAGGGTTACTCCTGAATTAGCACTCAGGGAATTACTCCTGGCAGTGCTCAGGGAACCATATGGGATGCTGGAAATCGAACCCGGGTTGGCCGTGTGCAAGGCAAACGCCCTACCTGCTGTATTATCGCTCCAGCCCCTTGCTGTGGGTTTTTATATATCATGTGTGATAAATATATATATATATTGTTGTTGTTGTTGTTGTTGTTGTTGTTGTTGTTTTGGGGCCATACCAGGCACCTGGTTTTGCGCTCAGGAATTACTCCTGGTGTTGTTTGGAGGACCATAATGGAGTGCTGGGGATTGAACCCAGGTCAGCTATGCGTGAGGCAAGCACCCTACCTGCAGTACAGTCTCAAGCTAATGAGAGGTCATTCTGTTTCTCCTTCTGACTTCAGTGTGATATTTAACTTCAGTGTGAAATTTGCCACATAGTGGCAAATTTCATGATCTTTTCTTACAGCTGAGTAGTATTCCATTGTGTATATGTACCATAGTTTTATTTTGTATTTTAAATCCAGTCCTCTATTCTTGTATATTTGGCTTGTTTCCAGATTTTGGCTATCATTAATAGTGCTGTGATGAACTTAGGAGAGCAAATGTCTTTTCTGATTAGACTTTATGGGCTGTTGGGATATATATACCAGGAGAGGAAACTACTGGGTTATATGGAAACTAATTCCTTTTTTTTTTTTTTTGAGATGTGTCTATATTGTTTTTCAAATAGGTTGAACTAGTCAATATTTCCATCAACTGTGGGGGAGGTTTTTTCCCCCACATCCAAGCCAACACTGTTTCTGTTGTTTGTGATGAGTGCCAGTCTCAACTGATGTGAGGTACCTTATTGTTTTTTTTTTTTCCTCATCTAGTGATGCTCAGGGGTTATTCCTGGCTCTGCACTCAGGAAATATTCCTGGCGGTGCTTGAGGGACCATATGGGGTGCTGGGAATCAAACCCGAGTCGGTTACATGCAAGGCAAACGACCTACCTGCTGTGCTATCGCTCCAGCCCCTCTTGTTTTGATTTGCATTTCCCTGGTGATCAGTGATGTAGAGCAACTTTTTCACAGTGCCAAGGATTTGAACTGTTGTTCACATGCCAGGAAAACACCTTACCTGCTGCTGCTGTATTAGCTCTTTGACCCTCAATTTTGTTTTGTTTTAGGCCCTCAACTGGCAATGCTCAGGGTTAATTCCTAGCTCTGCACTCAGGAATTGTTCCTGGCAGTGCTCGGAGGACCATATGAGATGCTGGGGATCAAACTCATGTCAGCTGAGTGCAAGGCAAGCGCCTTATCCACTGTATTGTCTTTCCAGCCCCTCCAGCCTCAATTTTTATTTATTTATGTTTTAGCCATACCTGGCAGTTCCGAGGGTTTCTCTTGGTTCTGTGCTCAGGGATCACTCGTGGTGGTGGTTAGGACCACATGCTGTTCTGGGGATCGAGACTGAACCAAAAATGGCTGTGTGCTAGGCAAGCGTCTCAGCCCTTGTGTTGTCTTTCTCGCTCTCTCTGGAATTTTAGCTCAGATAGTGTGCAGATAAAGTATAACCATGACCCTAAACATATTTCTTGTATTTGGAGTAGTATTTGGAAAAGGGATGTTTTTCCTAGTATGTTAATCTACAGAGTGAAGATTTGCACCCCAGGGAGGATTTGTGTTTGTCTCAGTTTAGAAAGAAAATAACATCTGATGGTTTTTCTCACTCTGATTTCCATTTTTGTGTTTTATAGTACATTTTTATAATGTGATTTATACAGTGATCTTATTTGTACACATGTAAATATATTCCCAATTTTTTTGTTTGTTGCTTTGATTTATTTTGTTTTTTTTTTTTTTGGGCCACATCCATTGGTGCTCAAGGCGTACTCCTGGCTCTGTGTTCAGGGATCACTCCTGGAAAGAATTGGGGAATCTCACAAGGTACCCGGAGTTTTAGGGCATTTTGGTTTTGAGCCATACCAGGCAGTAATCAGGGTTGCTCCTGGCATTGCTGAGGGAATGTGCAGTGTTGGAGGTTAAACCTGTACTTTCTGAATGCCAAGCTTGTGCTCAGCCCTTTGACCTATCTCCTTACTGTATCATCCTTCCTCTCTCTCTTAGTTCCTCCCTCCTCCCTTCCTTCCTCCTTTCCTTCCTTAGTCCCTCCCTTCCATCCTCTCTTTTTCTTGATGGTGTATTCAAATCTTGTATGTTTTCATATATTGGTTTCTGTTTAATATTCCATCTGGAGTTATATGACCACAAAATATTCGAAGGTGGGGTCATGGCTCAAATGATCAACACATACCTATTATGGACCAGGTCCTGTGCTTGAGCTCTGTAACCACAAAAAAACAGTTAAGTTGTGGCTGCTGTTCTTAACATTAGCAAGAGGAACTGCTGCCAGGTAGCAGAGAAGGAGGTAGCTTGGACTTCTGCCCTGGTTCCTGTGAATGTTGCCGAGGCAGGGCTGGGCACAGGAGTGTCATATCCTAATAGGGACTATTCTCAGGGAGTACCTCCCTCAGTATTCTGTCTGCTGGCACCCACCATGACCAGCCAGAAGGCCCAGAGCAGGCCAGTGGCATCATCCTCACAGCGGAGTAGAAATCTTCAGGAGTGGAGTACTCTCGGAAGGTGGCAGAGGACACTGAAAAATCCTGTCGAAACTTACTTTAGTTCCTAAGTCCTCTGGGAGCACCAAGCCTTAGAGCCAGTGGCATTGGTGTCTGTCACCTTCACCCCCAGTTTGGATCTGGGGATCTTAAATGGATCTGCTCTTCCGAGGCACCAGCAAATCAGTGGACCACACACGGCTGTTCTTTCCAGTGGCTTCATTGATGGGCTGGCAAACCTGTGAATGGGGGAGGGAGAGCGACAGAAGAAACAAGAATCTTCTGTCACCGCTGGGGGACGTGCAGGGTACCCACTGTGGCCACGTGTGAAACTGCTACAACTGCAGGTCCGCCTGTGGATGTGTGGGACATGCACTGTTTCCTAAGTAGTGTATCAGGCTTTAGGGTTGTCTATTGTATGTGGAGCTGGTGCAGAATGAAAATGCAGAGTCAGAAAGCAGGGAAAGAGGGTTCCTTTCCTTCTGTGGCCCTTTCCACCTGCAGTGCTGTGCATTCGCTATTGAATCTTGCCCTAGTGCAAACCTTCCCACATCCCCTTTGGGACAGAGGATGGAAGGCCAGGAGCAAGATGGGTGTGACCTGGGCCCCCTGCTGTGGACCATGCTTCTTTGTCATAAGGACCTCACTGGAAAAATCACTTGCTGAAATACTCAGAAATAAAATCACCAAAAATTTGTGGTGGTAGGGCACAAGCCCTCATCTGAGGGCTTCTTCCTCTTCCCAGGGGATGTCTCTTTCAGCTGTCACAGGTGAGTGCTGGAGCGGCAGCCCAGCCTTATCTCTGAGTCAGTTTTCCCAGTGAAGAAGACTCAACCGTTTCCTAGATGGCCCTCCCTGCCCTGCACATGGCGCTGGCTGCAGATGTGTCCTTTCTCCACGTCAGCACCTCCCTGGGACTGCATAGCAGCCTGGTCCTCAGGGTGAAACACAGATGGGGACAGGGACAGGAACTGGACTGGAAACGCTCATCGAGCTGCTTCTGAGCCAATCCCTGGCTGTGTATCTTGGGCCGTGATTTGGAAGTTGGGGGTGAGATAGTTTGTAGATTTAATATACGGCTGCTGTGTGTGTGTGGGGGGAACATGAGTGCCTGGGTGTCAGGGTCACTGGTGTGAATGATGGGCGTGTTGTTTTGGATGCCCCCAAGTTGGTTGTGCTTTCCTGCTGGCATCAGGGATACACACTGCCCTGGAGGAGCATCAGGAAGCAGAGTTGCTGTCTTGCAACTTGTCGTTGGAATTGGACAGGAGTCTAAAGGAGATGGTGCTGCGGACGTGTCCTCATGCGGTCTGTTGCGTCTGTGGACTGTGTCTGAACTCCTGAAAAGGTCAGTGGTTCCTGACACGACATATTCTGTCTGCTCACCTTTTTAGGGACCCTGAGTGACATGCCCGGACCACAGGCTTTGCTGGGAAATTTCTCAGTGGTTCCTGGTTTTTTCTTCAAAATTACTTCTAATTTACAGAAAAGAGAAAGATTGCACAGAGCCTTTTCTTACCCAGATATCTTTCCATCCTGAAACCAAAGTGAATATGTTGCCTTTTTACCTGGGAAACATTCTGCCTGCTTCCCGAGAGCTGTGCACAAGCCACCGCGCCTGCACTGATGCAGCCCTGCCGGGCCCCAGACTAAGTGGGCCGCAGTGACCG